TCGTCGTTCGGCTTTGTGTGCCCCCAGCTGCTCGCTTTTCCTCGCCTTTCCCGCTGTCCTTCGTGTTTGTTGTTGCGGGGTTATTAAAAAGTTTTACCGCTCGCAAAAGACCCGCCCACAGAGACAACCATCCGCCCAACCAGCAGACCGCTGCAGTTGCTCGTTTTCGTTTTCATTTTCATTGTGAATGTTAATTACTCCAGCGGCGGTGACAACTGCCAAAGCCAGGATCTGTTTTGGTCCAGGTCCAGCGACTGAAACTGCTGTCCGGCACTTTCACACTGAACAAAAATATGTTATGATAAAAATTTAAGTGATACAAAAATAAAATACTGACTTTGTTTTGATGAAAAATTTGTATAAGTCTTTAAAGTATAAAAACTATTTTATATTTCAAGATTAGCATGCAAACCATTAATGAGTTTATATCCTAATTCAATCAAATCCAAAAACAAGCTATACATATTTTTTGAAAGTTTATATATATATAAATAAAATAACTAGTAAAAAAAATATATTGAACACGAGCAAACATTAATTTTTAATCATAATAATCCAACTTCTAGTGTCTCTAAATTTACTTTCTCCCGAGATTGTAGATAATTATAATTAAAGGCTGTTGATTTTTTTTTCAGTGTCCCTCCCTTGCACCCATTTTTTCACTCTCTCTTGCTCCCCTTTTCTGGCTTATAATCAAACTTATTTACTTTATGTGACTTTTATGAGAATTAAGCTGCATGCGGTCGCCTCGGGTTGTAGTGGTTGGTGTTTTCGTTTATTCCGATCATGACGATGCTAATGACGCCGTGGATGAGTTGTGGAGCAGTTGGTGACCACGGGGACAGTCCATTAATTAGATATATGGTTCCGAAGTGCCGCTCAGTATGAGTGCAATTCAAAGCAGAGAGCAGGGTGCTTTTTCTTATGAAGAAAACACTAAAAAACTTATTTTTATTAAAGTAGTCGTGGTCGTTTACAGAATATTTGACTCAACCCCCAGTTAGTGTCCTATTTTTTTTGTCTTCTAGGCAACATAAATTGGAATCGATATCAGAACCTTTAATAAAAACCATTGGTTTAAATGATGATAAATATGCCAGTATGGCGCTGAATTTTTACATATATCTTTTAAGGTAATACTAAAAAAAAATCACGTAGGAAAAAACTTCCGGACATTTTTTTTTTTTGAAAATTATTTGATATGTTGTGTCGCGCTGTCAGGAAAATTAGCTTTTTGGGGGAAACCCCCAAACTGAAGACACGTGTTGCCTTTGCCTCTTTTTAATAATGCACAGCAAAAAACATTTTTCTAAATTGTATTTCTGTTAATTCGAGATTTATATTTTAAATTCTTATATTTTGAATGGAAACATTTATTAAGGAGAAATGGCTTTTAATTCGAATTTGATTATATACCATTGTATTTATTGATATATGAAAAGGATTATCCGAAGGCTGTTTTTAAAGTAAGTGCAAAATTTAGGAGTATTTTTTTTGGTCAAAAATAAATGATTTGGAATTATTATTATTGTATTAAAGTTGGTAATATTTTTTCCCCAGTTTAGCATTCCCATACAATCCATAAAAAGCGCTCGTCTGACTACAAAATTTTCTTTAAGTCGGGAAACGGTGGCTTTAACCGTTCTCATGTGTTGTATGCTATATGTTATACGCTAACCTTAGCTGCTCCGACATCTTCTTCCGGTCGTAGACGCAGACGTTGCCATTCCCCGGTCGTCGGTCCTCGTTCTCCGGTCTCCGGCCTGAGTTGCCGGTTCTCCGGACTTGGAACTCCTTTCTCCGGACCGGAGGACTCATTGTCTTTCGGCGGACTCACGTGCTCACGTACGAAATAATTATAGCGCAAGTACGTGTCCCGCATTCGCGAGCACATGGCTTTCCCCTTGGCTTTGCTTTTGCTTTTGGCATAGGCGGGTCATCAGTTTTACCACCCATCCGCCCACTTTTTCAGAGCCGGGGAAAACCCATTTCATTGGCATATTTATTTTTTGTTGGCCAAAATCATTTTTAGGCATTTTCCGACAGTTTGTCGGGGTACATAATAGTCCTTCGTCTTTTTTTTTTTGGACGACAAAAAGTTGGCCCAAAAGTTTCCGGCTCTTTTTTCGTAGTATTTAGCCCATTCTTTTTGGCCTTTGTAAACAATTCCCACGGCTTTCGATATGAGTTTTTATTATACAAAAGAGTCCCAGATAGTTGGCATCATGTGGCCGTTGCTCTGATTGTTTCCACACTTCCATAAAGGCGGTTGTCATTATTTCTTTTAAAGACATGAATGGGACTTTTAAGCTACTTTGAATAGTAAGCAACTAAGCACTAAGGAAAACTTTTATTTTATATTTAATTTGTTTGAATTACCTAGAACTATTTCTAGGTACGAGAAAAATTATACAAAATGTTTCAAAGCATTTTACGTAATTAAAATATATGCCTGTTCACAAATTTCACCCATTAACTATTAACCAATGTTTTACCAGAGAATGCTAAAAATCGTATCCACAAGTAGGCAATTCTTAGCCTTATCTTGACTCATTAAGGAAAATTAGTAAGGAAGTTGTCAGGGGATCTTGGCAGCCGGCGAAACTTTAGCCAGGAGTTAAACAGGAAATTCTGTGGAGGGTTATCCCTTGGGAATATGGGGAGGGGGGAGAGGGCTAAAGGGGGACTTGGAGGGGGCGTCACAGCTGTTGCATTCTGGGCCTAAACTGTGCGTCGTCTACTCAACCACAAAACGCACACGTTCCACGACGTGGCGTCCTGGGATGAGGGAATGGGGACAAGTGATGGAGGTGCCATATCTTGGTGGAAGGGCGCCCCCAACACTCGCAAAAGTTTGCTCTAAAGTCCAACATATGTTGTTCATGCATGCCCGTCGACAACTCCTCCTTTTTCCACGTCCCCCCATCCAAATTCCTTGCCCTGCAGTCACTGAGTTAGTCATACACATGGAAAAATATATTACAAATAGTATGTTGGTAATCCAGTTAATATAAAGATCACGATTTAATAATCTTATCTTGCATATGTTTAAAAAATTCAATTTAAAATTGATGTAAAGAGTTTTAACTTATCCATAAGCTGATACTTTTTAATTGTAGTCTGATATGGTAAAAGTTAAAATAATAAATGTGAAGTAAAGATACATATGTTCAAAAATAAGATTAAGGTTAAGGTCTATAATAAATTATTCCTTTTACGAAAACAAATGACGTTTAATAAAATATTTTCAGGAACGGAAAGGAATAAAATAACTTTAACAATCCAAGCATTGTGTTCGATAAATTGCAAAGAGATTTCTATGTTGTCTTAGTGCTTTATTTTTCCGAGTGCAAATTTTCGCACACACACACATATGACCATCTAGCACGTGTAAGTGTGTATGTGTGGCAGTGTGTAATTATAACAAGTTTTCTAGGCAATTTTTCTGTTTTCCTTTTCGTTTTTCGCCCCAGAATTTCGCTCGTTCCCTTTTCTTTTCCTTTATTTTTTTTTGGGTACTGCTCTGTTCTGTTGGGTATCTGAAGAGCAAGAAATAAGTTTTTGATAAGAAAGTTATGATGAGTTTTCTTCACTCACACACACACACACACACGGCGAGTGGAAAAGATGGTAGGGTATGGCACATGTACACACAGCTGTTGATTTTGGCCAAATTAGTGCAAACACGTCTTGTTTTGAGTTGTGGCCCATGTGGAACATGTGCAACTAATTTGCAGTTATCAAGAGTTCTGCCTTCGACGAGTTTGAATGGATGAGCTCCCAGTTGGACATTGATTGTGGTCCAATAATCCCATCATCCCCCCCCATCAGTCACTAATTTACATTTCCGGTGGCAAAAACAAGAGGTGAAAAGTGGACTGAATGGATGGGTGTGTTTTTGGGGGCTCGAATCCCCGCCTGCCTGTCTGCCGACTGTCAAAAGTTTATTTATTTGACACCGAAAAAGTTGACACAGACACCAGGTCGTGGGCGTGACTTTATGCCTGAATCGGATTTATATATATATATATGTATATGTATACGAGTATACGAATATGCCTGGCCAAAATTGGATTACAATTGAGTTGTAATTATGCGACAACAAAATGGGTTCGTTCAACTGGATCGGGGGACCTTCGGGGCGAGCCGCCTCTGTTTTCCATGTTGTCGGCAATTTGAGTCGAGTCCTGGCGACGTCTTTTGAAATTTCGCATTTTGCATTAATTAAAACTGATTTAATTAAAGCTTGTCGTGTTGCTTTTAAGTATTCCAAGGACCTGGGATGAGAAACGGCAGGACCTCTGGCTGGAACAGCCTACTCCGTCCATCCAACAGCCAACATCCAACATCCAACACCCCTGGAAATGATTGAAGCGAGAGACCAAAGTGTTTTCGACTCGTCTCCGTTGTCCCCCGTCAAAGATTCTTTGTCGGCTTTTGAAGAGGTGAAAGTTTAATTAAATATGCATAGGGCGTACACAAGTATGTCTATTACAAGTCCAGATTCGCATAGAGTCCTTCAGTCTGATTGAGTCGGGTTTTGTAAACAGAATTCCGGTGCATTCCCGAAATTTCCATATCAAATTTAATCATTACCATGTTTATTTTTCTCAGACAGGTGGTTCTACAGAAACTCAAACTTCGAAATTCGATAGTCGAAATGAAAACAGTACAAATGTTTGTTTTCTTTGCTGAGAAGATTGGTTTGGTTTTATTTTTTAGAATTGATAGTGCTGATTAAATTCCAGCAATGTCCCAATGAAACATCATACCTTTAATGTTTCTTCAATAGCAAGTAAACCAAGTCCGTGAGGGAAATCGAAAAGGTTTTCAAATATTTATAATTATGGAAAAGGTTTTTGATTCAGTAATCGAATATCCAAAATTTTTTAGGTAAACTTTGGTTGTTTTATGTTTTTATAGAAAATATATAATATATTCCTTTTCGATCAGACATGCTTAGTCGTCAGTCTGTCAGCCAAAATCTATACATTCGAAAATCCCACTCGCTGCAGTCCCTTTCGATCGAAATTCCGGTTAGCAAGACCAGCTAAAAAATACAATCCGACACCCCTAAAAAAGTTAAGTAAATTAAAAAATAGAAAAAGCACCAAATCCAGAGAGGAGAAAATTACGAGGAGCATCAAGATGAATCCGTTTCGGCCACGTCACAGTGCAAATCATCGCGATCACCTGGATTTGGATTTGAACCTGGACCGCTCGATGGAACGGCGGCGGTTGCGCATCGCCCAACTGCCGGCGATTCGATTGCGTCCCGTCCATCAGCCGGATGTGGAGCGCTTTATGCTCAACATGCGAGTCCTGCTGCAGCGGCACAGGAACTACTTTGACCTGGGCGCCGGCGATGGGCTCTACGTGTGGAACTGGCGGGAGCACCCGATGGCCACCGGCCAAATGGGAGAGGGCGATGGCGATGGCTACGGCGACAATGTGGTGGCACTACCACGCACGGCCTAGGAATCAGTGTGTGCCTCCTGTGTCTGGTGTCCGTTTTTTATTTCGTTCCCGAAGCATCCATCCGCTGAACATCCCACACACCGCAACCCAAGCCATCCAAACCAGAACCAAAAACACGAACCCTGCCCAGACGCAAGTTGTGCTATTATTATATGCCATCCCATTCCCCAAAGAAGTGCAGGGGGATTTGGGGATCGGATCGGAGGACACGCCGTGGCGCACGTATATAATAATTTCCTGTTCAATGAGCAATTACCGTAATAAAGATACAACTCGGCTACTCCATATAATATATAAATGGAACCCGGATGACAATGGGTAGATGCTGATGACAACGATGATGATGATGATGATGACTGGTCTGTTCGGCGCGGTCCTGTTCTCTTCGTCCTGTTCTGTTCTGTTATGTTCTGCTCTGATGTGTTGGATAAAGCCCGGGCTCAAGTCTGATTCCTGTCTGTCATTTTGTCCTTGGGGTTAAGGGTTGACGGGGGCGTGACGAACATACGGAAGTGCCGCCACGGAAAGTTGATTGAACTGCACTAGTTGGCCACCCCCTAAATGGCTGGCATGCAATTTACTCATTACATCCGTTGCGGGGGCATTAAAGTTCGATTCATTCATGACTTGGATAGTTTTTATACCCTTGCAGAGGGTATTATAATTTTGGTCAAAAGTGTGCAACGCAGTGAAGGAGACATCTCCGACCCTATAAAGTATATATATTCTTGATCAGGATCACCTCCTGAGTTGATATAGCCATGTCCGTCTGTCCGTCTGTCCGTCTGTCCGTCTGTCCGTCTGTCCGTCTGTCTGTCCGTCTGTCTGTTTCTACGCGAACTAGTCTCTCAGTTTTAAAGATATCGAATTGAAACTTTGCACACACCCTTCTTTCCTTTGCACGCAGTATATAAGTCGGAACGGCCGGGATCGGCCGACTATATCCTATAGCTGCCATATAACTGATTGATCGGAAATGCCATAACTCTGCTGTTTGTTAGGTTAGGAAGTTGGGACTTTCTATGGGTTTTATATTTGGCCAATCAATCCGACGTACCAAATTTCATAAGGATCGGCCGACTATATCTTATAGCTGCCATATAACTGATTGATCGGAAATGCCATAACTTTGGTGTTTGTAAAGTTAGGAAGTTGGGATTTTCTATGGGTTTTATATTTGGCCAATCAATCCGACGTACCAAATTTCATAAGGATCGCCCGACTATATCTTATAGCTGCCATATAACTGATTGATCGGAAATGCCATAACTTTGGTGTTTGTAAAGTTAGGAAGTTGGGATTTTCTATGGGTTTTATATTTGGCCAATCAATCCGACGTACCAAATTTCATAAGGATCGGCCGACTATATCTTATAGCTGCCATATAACTGATTGATCAGAAATGCCATAACTTTGGTGTTTGTTAAGTTAGGAAGTTGGGATTTTCTATGGGTTTTATTTTTGCCTAATCAATCCGACATATCAAATTTCATAAGGATCGGCCGACTATATTCTATAACTGCCATATAACTGAACGATTGGAAATGCCAGAACTTTGGTGTTTTTAAAGTTAGGAAGTTGGGATTTTTTATGAGTATTAAGAATGCATTATGAATGATTTTGGAGAATATAATTTGCAGAATATTCTGCAAGGGTATTTCAACTTCGGCTCCGCCCGAAGTTAGCTTTCCTTTCTTGTTTTTACAAATGTTTGTAGGATCGAAGGATTCTATGAGTCTTAATAAAAGTTTATAAAACAACAGGACTACTTATTTTTATTCTCAACCGCCTATCATTTTAAAATTCACCAATCAATTCACAAATAGATTAACCAGAGAAGTTATTAAATTGTATACCAATCAATTTTGTCACACTCTTCAATAAATTCCACAATCAATTTATCAATAATATACAATAACAACAACTTCTGCATCGAAATATAATTACCCTTCTTTTAAAATAAAAAATGAGCAATGAATTCAACTATTCAACTATTCCCACAATCAAATTCAGCAATGGAAATATGCCCTTATATTCACCAATTAATTTATGAGTTAGGAATATATAAAACCGAGGTGTCGTGTTGTCTTTGCTAGAATCAAAGCTAATTTGGCTGCCAATGAAGAAGATATTACCCTCTTAGTTTCGACATTTGCATAATCAAAGCAAAATTTGAGGGCAGCCATAGGAACAATCGGCCTGCAGTGGGTGTTTGACTTTCATTATAGCCATCAAGCACTCCGGCAGATTTAGGACTTCCCAATCAGTAGGGCCAACTTGCCGGGATTCGAGTGTATCAATTCGAGAGATGCCCCTCCCTCGTTTTTTACTCTGCCATTAGCAGGCCACGTCAAGCTGTCAGACAGTCCATAGCCTTTTTCGACGGGGCTTCGTTCGGGATGGTCCTTTGTTTTGCACATTGGGAGAACATTTTATTGCTTTATGCGTTTAATGAAGTGTTGCTGCTGGATGATGCACAGAAAAAAATTACACTTCTCTCTTATTCTTTTGCTCCAGATATCAGAGTGTAATGTTTATATTCTGAAAGTAGAAGTTGCTTATCTTAATATATGTTTATCGCATTATATATCTCAATAATCAGGTTCTGTCATTACTACTATTTGACCGCAAGTGATGTTGCGAATTGATATCATTTCTTATTATACCCGTTACTCGTAGAGTAAAAGGGTATATTGTATTCGTGCAAAAGTATGTAACAGCTAGAAGGAAGCGTTTCCGACCCTATAAAGTATATATATTCTTGTTCAGGATCACTAGCCGAGTCGATCTAGCCATGTCCGTCTGTCCGTCTGTCTGTCCGTCTGTCCGTCTGTCCGTCTGTCTGTCCGTCTGTCTGTCCGTATGAACGCTGAGATCTCGGAAACTATAAAAGCTAGAAGATTGGCATTTTGCATGCAGATTCTAGGAGTTCCTACGCAGCGCAAGTTTGTTTCAAAATGGTGCCACGCCCCCTTTAACGCCCACAATCGCTTATATACGATTTTAAAAATTTAAATATTTCGGAAAAGTAAAAATGCAGTTTTATTGTGTTTATCAATACCTATCGAAATGTAGCAGAAATTTTTCAAATCGGACCATTCGTTAAAAAGTTATGCGTGATCAAAGTTTCTATCTCCATCTCCCTCGCACTCCCTTTACCTGAGTAACGGGTATCTGATAGTCGGGGCACCCGATTATAGCGTTCTCTCTTGTTTTTTTTTTCATTTTTAATATTAGGCACTCATGTTGACCTCTTATTTTTCTCCGTGTGGAGGCACTCAAAACCCACGCCCCTTGGGACACAGACAGCAACCCTTCGCTTTCACTTTTGGAACCGGGCTCCAAGACAGGAGCAGGCAGCATATCAAACATTTCTGACAGCCTATGACGTCTGCCGGAGGAGTGACTGACTTTCCGACTCACTGACTGACTGACTGACTGACTGACTGACTGATTGACTGATTGATGGACCGTCGACTGGCTTGGAAAGCAAGACCGGTGTCACTCACTCACCCACGAAGCTCGCATGTAATGCATAAAGAATGAAGCTTAAATAAAAGTTGGGAGATGAGAAATAGGATTAACTTGTCACACAATTGAATTTAATTTTCATACACAACGAGGGCGGGTGAAAAAGCATCTGGAAAACCCGTCCAGACATTGCCCCCGTCTTCTCCACTTTTTATTTTTTGTCTTCACTTCGGGGAATATATATGTATTTGGAGACTTCGAGACGACTCGAAAAATGCTTTTGTGGTAATCCCGTACAGAAGCCGATTCGGGGTTTTCGTAATGAAATTACACGAGCCTCAGATTTGTCAAAGCAATCAATAGACCCGGATGTGCAGCCTTCGATTGAATGAACTTCCATTCGATGGACTGAGATCCTTGATGAGCCTCTGCCATCGAGCTCACATTGGGAATAGTCGGTTTGGCGAAAATAGCCGACAGAAAAGGTACATTCAAGGCAGGTATTGAAGGGGTTTTGCATTGCACCGTAGCAGAGTTTATTGGGCATGAAAGTCCTTTTCTAGGGTTAATAGAGGTATTTAGTGGGGCAACCTATAAACCTATTCCTTTATTCGGTCTATAGTTTATTTTTACCAACGCTTTCAAAATCTAAACTTTTAGTTTCTTGGTGTAGTGTCTGTGAAATAAAATGTTTATAATTTTGTTTTTGTTCTTTCTTTCTTTTGCTGTCTGAAAAAATTTTCCCAGTCCATTATTACCCTAACCCCAAGATTCCTTTGACAATTCTCCATTCTTATTTTATTTTGCACATCATCCATCAATTAATTGACTGCACTCCACCGCCTCATTGCGTATGCCGCTCACATGCCGCTTGTATCTTTGATTAGCGAAAACAAAGGCGAAAGAGTGACGGGAGTTCATTAAATGTCACACAAATGTGGCAAATGGAAGGATGCAAGTGGGTGGAGGATGTGGGCGGAGGTTGTGGGCGGAGGCTGTGAGGGGGGCTTGGGTGTTGGAGGTAGTGGGCGGTGGGTGGTGCACCCCATTCTATCCATATGCTAGCACTCACCACTCTCCTCTCCTTTGGAACGTCCAACTTAATTAAATAGCAACAGATTCGAGGGTGCGGAATCCTTTCAACCCAGAAGTTAGCCAACAATCACATCCTCGCTTCTGTACACCCAGAAAAAATGCATTATGTGTCTAATTTATTTTATTTAGCTAAAGGATAGAATTCTTAAAACGTTTACAAATGAAGTTCTTGAATAAGAAAACCCTAAAACTTGTAGACAGTGTTCGGAACCTTAACATAAGTTTACACCATTAAACAACAGCGAATACACACTTTATTTTAAAGAGATAAGACACAAATAAATATTGCCCCTTAAAAAAATAATACATATATATATCTTTAGCAAGGGAAAATGGTAATATAAAATAATGATTTCTTCAAGACAATCCACAAACAGAAGTGTTGACAAAAATTAAAGGCAATAGCAACTGAAATAATTGAATTCCTTTATCAGAAACTGTGTCCACGTATAAGCCTGCACAAACTGCTGATGTATAGTAAAATGTACCGCCTCCTCTGGGAGTATACCTTCTTTTTTCGCGGTGCAGACCGTCGATATCGCCGTGGTGCACATAAAAGTTTCTAATCCATTTGCCCGATACTTATGCACGCCTGCACTCGGGGGATTAATAAGTGTGGCTGTTTGTAGTACCACCCCCACCTCCTCTTTCCCCGAGCCATATCCATCCATATATCCATCTTCCCGGATGGTTTGTTTCAACCACCGCCAACCGCTCGACTTTGCAGCCAAATCAATTTCAACTGTCAACTGTCAATCAGGTCGCAATTCAATCACGCAACGTCCTCGGAGATGGGGAGTTGTTCTTCTCCTCCTTCTGAGACGACGACGAAGACAAAGTTTAAGAATAAGAATGAGAATGAGAAGAATTGGAAGCCCGAAGAAAGTACACCACACCATATTTGGCTGAATTATTCAAAGGCATCGAACGGATACCCAAAACCCCAGCCAGAATGTGTGTTATTAATGCTTTGGCTGCAAAAGGCGGCGAGTCACGAGCAGGAGTCACAAACATTTGTTCAAGAGATTTTTATGAATTACATCGTTAGAAGTGTGAGGGGGTTGTACACAGATTTTTATTGGTATTATTGCCATTTACAACTCGACACCCGTTACGTTTTGACCTGGCCCTGCATATGCATTACTTACCCGTATTTGCAGCCCAAGCAACCCAATCGCTAACCCAAGCTGAAACCCTGCTAAATTTCGCAGTCAAGACACATGTCACGTATTTTGCTCGTAATTATGGCAAACGTGAGAAATTTCGTTAAGATTTTCTTAACACATTTTCTTGTGCATTTATACATATACACATATACATGCCTTTGCATGTATATAAAGTGTGTGCTCTTTGCTCGGGCTGTGGCATAATTTTAGGCATTTTCCCGGTGGCTTTTGGTTTGGTCGTGCTGTACAGTCACCACAGGCATGTGGTGACCCTACAATGCTCAAGCTATAAAGATAACGCCCCCTGAGAGATCTGTGTTTCTTTTGCCAACCAATCTGCTCATCAGTTTAAGAGTCACTTCAAAGGAGTAGCTTTAATTCCCAATTGGAACCAATTAATATGATAAAATTGTTAATAGATGTTGGGGATTATTAGGGCAAGCAGTTATATAATTTATTGTTCTCAAAGAATTTTGGCCAGAAAAAAAATACAAATGTGATTTAAATAATAATGGGTTTAATAAGGACAATAAAAATCTATTTATTGTTATGTTATACGGTTCTCAAGGTTGTACCTTACAGTCTTTAAATATTTTTGGCTAAAAGGTTCAGCAAATGTTTAACAAAAAATTTGCCAATTCATGAACTTTTGTCCAAAAAATCCATGATGAGGAGCCTTTTCACCGACGATGTTTCCGTCACATTTACAGAATAACTGGCAAACTGTAGGTCACTGTCTATTTTTTAAACAATGTTAAAGGTAAAAGATGTCCTTTGTTAGCTGGTAAAAAGAGGAAATAGCTTACGGGATTGAACCACTCATAAATAGTCAAAAATTAAGTCCTTTGTGTGCTTGAACGCTTCGACAGCTCACGAACCTGAGATTAGTTTCGACTTCGATTTTGGTTTATGTAAGGCTTAAGTTTTTCATGGCCTTAAATTGAAGTTAAGGGTGTTTTTCTTTGTACTGAAAAGCTGCCAAAGAGTAGTGATAGTCAAAAATTGAAAAAGGAACTGTTATTTAAGACATGGCATTTTTAATTTTATGCCAACCATTTATTGCCCTGTTCCCATATTTGTATTCTAATGTAATAGTTTTGTCCAGTTTTTTCGATGATTTTCAATATTATTTGGAAAAGAGTATATATTTACCAATGTTTTATGATAAACAAATGTTCTTAGTGCTCAAAACTTTACTTTATTTTAAATGAAATCTTGAAAAATGTTTCTAATTAAATTTTTTTTTGCATTTGTATTAGGGGTACATAAAGCTGATAAACAGAAGTGCTTTATGGGCTTAGCCCGAAAGTCCTGGTAGTGATGATACTACTGGTAATCCAGCTACTGGCTTGGCGACCGAACCCACCAGTGCGGGGGCCGCGGCACTAGACGCTCCAGCCGCAGCTCCGGTCAAAACGGGTCCAACTGCATCCAGTGGACCACCACCACCACCGATCAGATCGCCAATTCCACCAGGACGAGCCTCAATGGTGCCCAGGTAGCAGGCTGCAAAAAAGGAATGCAAAAGTGTTTATCCTGGGAACCGATACTCGTGATCGAAGTAATACATACCGCACACAATTAGGGCCACGACGATCGATTTGTTAAACATTTTAGAACAGCTTGAAGGTTTCGACTGCTTGATTCAACCAAATCAACATCGGTTTTTATAGTTCCCGGCCAGAGAACTTCGTGGGCTAAGTGCACGTATTGGCTATCACTATCTAGAGCGTGCTCTACGATTTATCACGAGTTCGGAATCGCGGCTATTTCTAGTACGTCATACGTCAACAAGTCTTCGATGTGGACTTATAATCAGAGAATGTCGTTCTCAGATTTCAAAGAATTGTTTGTATAAGCAAAAAAGATTTAGCTTTGAACACTTTGTTATACCCGTTACTCGTACCGTAAAAGGGTATAAAGTGTTCGTATGGAACAGGAAGAAGTAAAGTACATGTATTCCTGATCAGGATCAATAGCCGAGTCTGGTACAGACGTCAAAATCTATCTTTAACTAACTATATTTAACGTTAAAGTAAGAGAAATATTTTTGTATATTTTGCAATCAACGAACTTTTTAATTTATATGATTTTATAAAATCTACTGATACACCTTGATGAAAATTTCGTAGGGCGCTCCACCCTTTTTATTTAGCTTTTTATTTTTATTTGCATTCTGGTTTAGCAAATTGTTTTCATAATAATTCGCTATTCGTGTCTCGACACGTTCCAGCTAAATAATTAGCATTTTCAGCTTTTGATGAGGGGCCGTGGAATGACATGTAAATACATAAGTAAAATTCTGTTTTTTCAGCAACTATTAAACCATTTTCATTGCATTCGTCGCTTGTTATCAGAGCTAATCGGATGCCGCAATGTCTGTGTTAATTTTGTTCGATTTATTCATCGTTTTTATTGAATCACTTTTTATTTCCCACAATTAACTCGAATTTAAACAATTTAAGTTGTAAATAAATGAGAGCCCTGTTTGGGAAAACGGTTATTCGGAACTTGAATTGTTTAGTGAATATAGCAATTTAGTACATAGTACAAGTACCTAAAAACAAAGAAACAAAAGATAAAACAAATTGTTGAACCGATTAATCTGTTGTCAGTTATGTATTTAAAATTTGGAAGCAAAATGAAAGCAAAAAAAAATTAGGGGTAAATATTGTACTCTTTATTAAACCATTTTTTCTAAAATTAAATGCTTTTATTAATGAATTTTTTTTTTTTAATTATTAATGAACGCATTTAAACGCATTGCTTTCGACCTTTTTTTTTTTACCAACTGGTCTGGAAGTTGTTCAAGATTACGTGCTCAGTTGTTAATCGAATGCAAGTGCAATGCATCCGGCTGGTATGCTCGTAGTACATATTTTAAACAGTTCAACAAGTGTAAGCCACTTCCGGAATCGGAATTCAGAATCTCAATCTGAATCTGAAGACATCTTTAATGGCAGAGGGGCGAAAAGTGGAGAATGGAGCCGGAGTATGAGAGTGAGAGTGAGTGGCAACAGCTGTCCCATCGAGATTGGAATCGGTTGAAGACGCGATAAGTTAATCGGCAATCGCACGTACGGAGCACACGTTTCCGGACGTGGTGCCAGTGTACATCGATATAAAACTGGACCATCTGAGCACTGAGAAAATCAGTTCAATTAGCCAAATTTATAGAGCAGTTCGCCCAGTAACAGCAGCAACACCATCGACTAAAGGTTTCCATTCAGGGCTAATTAAGGAAACGGAAAGGAGAGCTGCACGTCGACCATGCTGCCGTCACGTAAACATTTAATTGCCTTCGTTGTGGTGACAACATTAGGTAATTAGTGCTTGGCTCACATGACATTAACTTGGATGCTAATTTCTAGCTCATTTCAGTATGCTTCACAGTGGGACAGGATTCCACAACCAATCAGTCGGCATCAAATGCCACGGATATCACCAGCACTAGTGCTCCAACTTTGGCGACCACAGAATCTACATCAACTTCAACAGGAGCATCAACAACAGTACCACCAAGCACCACATTAACGGATACAACAACCACACAATCAGCAACTAGCACATCCATAGCCACAATTACATCAACAGCCACATCCACAGCCACGTCCACATCAACATCCATAACCACACAATCAACAACAACAACTTTAGGCGACACAACAACCACAACTAACACTCCAACTACAACAACAAGCACAACTAACACTCCAACTACACCAACAACCACAACTAACACTCCAACTACAACAAGCACAACAACCACACAAATTTCATCAACAACTGCCCCACCATCGACAGCTGCAACTAACACTCCAACTACAACAACAACCACAACTAACACTCCAACAACAACCACACAAATTTCGTCAACAACAGCACAACCGACAACAAGGAGCACACAAGCTTCAACTACCACACCACAGTCTACAACACCGACTACAACACCTTCAACGACAACACAACAGTCAACCACAACAGTTTCTGCTGTCACAACGAGTACACTTGGATCCATAACAACACCGCAAACTTCTACAACTTCCACAATTACTCAGGCTTCAACAACAACTTCACAGTCTACTACAAACTCTGCTCAAGTTTCAACAACTACACCGCAGTCCACATCAACATCAACAACACAAGCCACAACGACACCACAATCTTCAACAAGTACCACTCAAACTTCAACAACACAAGCCACTACTCAAACTTCAACAACACCACAAAATACCTCCACAGGACCACAATCAACAACGACAACTACTCAAATATCAATAACAGAACCACAATCGACCACAACAAATGCGCCCACTTCAATAACAACACAGCCGACAACAACAACCACTGTAGCAGCATCCAGCACTGAACTTTCAACAACAGTTTCTGAAAGCACCACCAGCTCAACAACAACCACCAGCACAACACCACTCGCTTACACCGTTTACACCATGGAACCATATCCGAATATTTATGGGCGAAACAACCTGGACGGCAAGCCACCGCGCAGATTGCGAAAGGGTCGCAAAGGACGCAGGGGCAGGAGACCTCGTCGTCGCACCACCTTGGCACCACTGACTTCCAGCACCGCCACCACCACCACCAGCACCACAACCACAACCGCCAGAACAACACTGAGTAGCGACTATTTCAGCGAGGACTACGACGACATTGTCCTAAACTCAAACAATGTTCTCGAACCGTTTCCGCAACTGGCTCTCGATCTCGGCAATATCGAAAACAACAGGATCCCCAAATAGTGGATCGCTTGCAATATCCTCCAGGAGACTGAGACCAATAACTGAGGGACTTCCATTCATACAAATCTGATCAGCTTAGTTGTAACCTTTATACTTACTTAAGATATATATCACAAAATGTTGTTTACCTTATATTATATTATTATATGCCTTTACAAAGCAAAACATTTTTACATCTATTTTTCTTAGTGGAAAATAAAAGACAACTGCCAGAAAAACTTAAAGGGCATTCATATCAATAAGCGTGTCGACACCTAGGTTGAAAACAAAGACTAAAAACTATTTTTAATTATTTGATAATAGAATGCGGACATTTTTTTCAAAATTAATACATTTTTATTTCACGCATCTAACTATCTAAGAAATGTTTAAAAAAGTTTTTACTGCAATCAAAAAGAATAGGCTTAGAAACAACATTACGACTAATGTATTACGGCATTATATTATTTTAGTTTAATTAAACCTATATCAATTGAACTGTATACAATGCACACATGTTGAATAATTATTTTGTCAATCAATGCTTTTGTGCAGATTGAATGTTTCTGCCTTAAGTTTCCATTTCGTGCAACACATTGTCATGCACAAAATCTCTAGTCAACCGAAGAAGATAATTATTATTTTTATGTGGCAAAAGGCTCTGGCATCCCAACAGCAATACATTCCAATCTGGCAAGCCTCATTAACGTGGTAAGTTAGAGGACGCAAATGGGCCAGGCAAAATGGGAACGGAAACTTCCAACCTGAAGGGAAAACAGGGGAGAAACTCATAAAACACAAACGGACAAACGGACAAACAGGCAAATAAACAGTTGGTGTGCAATTAATTTGGCAAACTGTTTGCCCAACGCAAACACACACAGTGTAGAGTCAAAGGCGCCCCTTCTCTGCTTTCCATGTGCATGTGGCGCACTGAACAAATACAATTTAACTTCCACTTTCAACACATCAGCAAAAACAAGCCGGGCAACACCAGGCACCATCCACCCCCTCCCCCTCCACCCCCTCCCCCCAAGATAATGGTCGAGTCAATTAGCAGCGCCTGCTTTTCGAGTCGCAAGCCAGCGCATTAAAATCTTGGCCAACATTGCCGAAGTTGGCATGCCATTCGCCCCGTCTTTGCTAAATAACTGTCGGACTAATCAAAGTGACAGCTGACCAAGGGACAGACTATACCTTACACTGAGCGAAAGGCATGCACAAAAAATTGAGCATTCAGCTGAAAATTATAATAACAAAAGCTCTGAAATTGGGCATACCAATGAACTTAAAATGATAACCAGCAAGATTTTCTTCTCGAAATTAAATGTGTTTATATATTTTCAGATATAAGAAGATCTGGATATATAAGGGATAATTTAATTTAATTTAATATAACAAAAATTATCGTTTGCATATTCTTTTAAAGAAGTATATCATCAAAAAAGCTATCAAGTTTGCAGGGCAAACAAAATATTTTATTATTGCCAACAATCCCAAAACCAAATATTAACTTTCTTCAAGTTCTTAATTTTACGAAGATGTGCAGTATTTTTTCTCTCTGCAGGCAGAGCATTGAACCCAGGCAAAGCCCCAGTTTGCAGAAGGCCCAAATATGCCGCGAGCTTGATAGATTGCTCGGCCAAAATGCACGTGCTTATCGGGGCACGTGCTCCCAGATGCAGTGGCTCGGATTTTCGGGTTATAAGTAGCCAGACCAGCTGCTTGGGACCAAACAGAAACCGGAGAAGAGTCCAAGAACCGAAAGCCAAACGACAATGCTAAGATTTGGACAACAACTGATGCTGCTGGCGATGGCCTGTTTGGGTGAGTTTTACCAAGGAGCCGCAAATGGAACAATAGCTTATAACTCTGTGAAATTCTGGGGGAAATCAAAACATGCAGCTCTGCAAACGGCCCACGGATGGTTTTTGAAACTGCCCAAGCTGGAGGCAAAACTGGAGGCCAAGGAGGACATAGAGGAGGCAAAGCTGGACTGGTTCGAGGGCAAAAAGCAGAAGGAGTTCCTCAAGAAGCTGGATTTCCTCAATTTGTTCACCGAAAAAGTGGAGGCTAAGCTCGAGAAGAAAGAGGACGAGTGGGAGAAATTCAAACAGTGGTGGGATGAAAAGAAAGAAAAGGAGTTGGCCTTCTTCGAGGCCAAAAAAGACAAGGAGTTGGCCTTCTTTGAGGCCAAAAAAGACAAAGAGCTGGCCTTTTTCGAGGGCAAGTTGTCCAAGAAGACTGGCAAAAAGAGCAAGTCGAAGAAGACCACAGTGAAGCCTTGCTACAGCTACCAGGAGGAGAGTCCCGCTCACTATTATTCCGGGGAGGAGGTCACCGAAGCGGACTACGAGCAATCCGAGGAGGTCACCGAAAAACCCCGCCGAAAGAACCACGAACGTAAGAGCTACGAACGGCCAGCATATTCACTACCCACAATTTACGATGTGAGGGACGATTCGGCGGAGGGCATTCGCTACTTTACCTGAAAGGACGAAGGACCAAGGACCAAGCTAATTGGCTCGGATGGATGGACGGATATTTATTTATTGCATTTTCTCTGGTCGCTCCTCTTCTCTTTTTACATAATTACATTTTTAATAAATATAATTAAAATTCACATAGCTGAACGCCATCGCATCGGTTTTTGGGCTTGGTTTCAGGTTTTTTTTTGTGATATTGGGTTTTGGGTTTTGGGCTTGTTGCCTGTCTTCAGCCCGCCTCGCATATCATTTGCATATAAATTGAATTCCCCGCTTCAGTTCAGTTCGGTTTGGTTTCTTGCCTAGGATTCGTGTAGACAGCCAATATTTTATACATTTTATGTTCACACCTTGGTGTGAGTAGATGTGTGTGGTGTGTGTATGTGTGTATCTGTGGTTTTGATCCATCATACCGCGTACCAAAGCAGGCACTAACTTCCATATCCGCATCCGCATTCGCGTGCTGTCAGCGACACTTCATCCAAAACTGTCAGCCGGTGGCTCAGTGACACATTGCGCCCATTATTTGCATACGGGGTGGTGGGGGGATCGAGTGTCTTTGGACCCACACAAAGTGGTTCATCCTGCCACTGCTACCATTGCAGGTGAGGATGCAGAAGAAACCAGGGAAACTTAAACTGCGGACAGCAAGTAAAACAAAAAATTAAGTACCACACGAGAACTACGCCGCTCGGGAGTCAATTACTTTTTCCTCCTAATTTCAATTTAAGCTGTCATGTTTAACTAACATCTATTTTATCGCTCTAATTAAACCTATCACATTTTATTAATGGCTATCCAATCCAGTAAATGACATTAAAAATGTCTATTAATTCTAACCAATTCCCTTACACTTTGTTTTTTATATTTTAATTTCACTGATTGAAAATGTAAACATCCGATTGTGTAAACGTTTGTACGAGTCAACACGTAAGTTTTATTTTTCACTACACTAAAATGGGGGAAAAGGGGCAAAATTTTCCATAGTGAGCACTTTCATTTTCGTTTTTTGTGCATGTAGAATTTCAGCAAGCACAGGCATCTTTGTTGTTTACATTTTTTCGGTAGATAATTGTTTTTGCATTGCTCGAATATAATTACTTTAATACATCACTTTTATTTTACTAAATTAATATATTTTATGTAAGCTTTTCGACTGTTAAATTGATTTATCAACTTTAGGGATTTCGAATTCATCCTTATATTTTCCGCACTTGTGAATTATAATCAGTGTATTGAATTATGCTCTGAATGCATATGGAAAATTGCCTTGTTAGGTATTGAAATTATCCCCATTCGAAAACCCAAATATCTGTCACACAGTTGTGAATGTTCGTATACCATCTACATATACTCGGTATATTCGCTGCACTGACATGGAAATGCTTTTCCAGCTGTCAATGGGCCCATTTGGCGGGGTTTTGGGGAATCTATTGCAACATTGGCGAAACCGAAAAATTGCGGAGTATTCACTAAACACACACACACACACACATACATACAAACATCCTCCTTAGTAACAGCTAATGGTAATCATAATAATAATTCGAGTTTTTGTTTGTTTTTCGCTGGCGATGCTGAGGCAGCAAACATTTTCAGGCCAAAAGCATTTCATGGTTTGTAAGCACTCACCTTTCCGTGTGTGTGTGTGTATGTGTGTATTTGTGTGTGAAATTGCATCTGTGTGTGTGTGAGTGCGTGTTTGCACGGGCTGATTCACCTCGGAGATTTTGTGCCATGCCATGAATGTTGATTTGCCCATTGAGTCGTGGCATCAAGTGCAATTAAAAATCCATTGCATACTTTACGGCGCCACTCGCTTTCACATCGATAGCCGGGCTATCGGTCAATCGATTCACTGAACACTTTCGGCATATTTTTGGGGATTGTTTCCTTTCCGTTTTCATGGAAATTCACTTTCCCATTAATTAAATTATTGTCAAAGCTAATTTTATGGATCTTCCAAAAATTTAAAAATTTTAAATTAAAAATTTTAAATTTGCAAGGGAAAGGCATTTTCCTAATACTTTCTTTCATACAAAATAATAATTTAATCCGCTGGGAAAGGATTTGAAGGATATCCGTTTCTTAGAATGAAAAATATAAATATAATATACTACCTTCTTTTCGTTTACATTCTTTAATATTTTTACTGCATATTCATTTTGTTGTGTCAATCAAATTGCTAACCGTTTAAGGTCTTATTACGTCTTTGAGCTAATTTACAAACTTTTATAATTAAAGCGAAACTGAATTTGTATCATTTCGATTTCTTTCTTCACTTCGACTTGCAAATATTGAATCTACTTTCACTTCAATAGCCAAGCATTGGGTCCATCGATTTACTAGATTTATTGGGGGGTTGTCTTCGGAGAGTTTTGCCTGTCCCATAGATAATCATAGAACGGACTGGGGAGTGGGGAGTGAGGAGTGGGGAGGAAAACTATTATTATTATTTTCGAATTGCGATTATCGGGTGGCACTCCTCTGGGAACTGACTTTGCTCCGAGGTCTGAACTTCAGCGGTCAGCTCTTGTAATTGCAGTGGACAAAAAGAGAAGTAAACTTTGTTTATCCTTTGCCCGAAAAGTTTTCTTTTTGGTTTTCCTCCCAAGACCCCATTCCCCCTCCCCCTCCCCACCCTCCTTTTGATAGCCCAATTTCTTTCATTGCCTGCCACAGTTACAGTTCAGCGGCGAGGGGGTCAATCTTGTTAATTTCAGCTCTGCGGATGAAGCAGACACTTGCCCCGGCCCCAAAAAGTCAACTCCCCGCCCGATTGTATATATATTGTATTTGCCCAACCATTTGTCTGTCGTTCTGTCTGCTTTTTGGGGTTATGCACGCATCGGGTGGTTTTTTTTTTGGGGGGGTTTTTTTTTTGTTTCTTATTTGGGGGCATGGGGCTTTCCGTAATCGCAATTAAGATAATCAAAAAAGTTTTGACAGTGGACTGTCAGAGCTGCGGAGGCTTGGTTTTTACTTTCGTCCCAGTCCGCAAAGTTTTTCCTTCCGTCTAACAGTTAAACTTCTTTAACTTGAACTTGTTTTGGCCACGTAAAAAACCCTTCTTGTCGAGACTTGGAATTGCAGTACAATCTGTGAAATAGTGGATTACTACAGATGCCACATATTGTTTTTGGTTTTCCCTTACGAAGGACATATTAATACAAATGTCTCCTAATATCCGAATCGAAGGACCAACATATTTTTAGGAGAGTATCTGGGTAGGAAGTCTGTTGCCGAAATGAATAACAAAAGCATAATTTTAATGTTTCAAAAATTGTTATTATTAATTTATTTATTAACAAACGTGCCCTTAAAAATATTTTTTTCTCACAATCAGGTTAAACTGCAGAATATTCTGCTTATCAGATGCCAACTGTATTTTCTTTTTCGATTTTCTTATGTTGCCGCAGTTGTTGATGCTTTCTTTTTGCTTTTGGTTCGCCGCAATATATGCTGCAAGTTCTTGCTTCCATTTCGGTCTGCGATTCCAAGTGCAAGAGCAAGATGATATCAACTTTTTGCTTTGGTCAAGACGGTTTTGGTAAACTTTTCAGGGTTGCCGGACTAGAGTTTTTGCCAATGCATACTTTGCGGCTATTATTTCAGGCCTTTTTTACTTCAGCTGCGAAGTTAAAGTTGATGTTGAGTTGAGTTGAGAGGCCTGCAGTTGAAGGGAAAGTTTTATTGCCTTTGGATGAACGGAAATTGGTTTCCATTTTATGAAGATGATAGTTATGCCGATGATGTTGACGATGCAAGCACACTTTGCAGCATTTCTGTAACGATTCCTAATCCAATCACATCAAGCGCGGATTAAAGCAGGTGGAAGTCGCCACGGAAACGCCATTTAGTTGGCCAAACAAAGCAACATCCGATGTGTGCGGATGTGTAAGAGGATGTAAGCGGATGTGCCGAGTGGAGGGAAAGGGGAAAAAGGGAAAGTTGTGGGAGGAGCTGAAGGATGCTCTCGACCCAACTCAACTGGCAATGGGAACGGACAGGCGTCGAGACAATCCACAGACAGGCAGACGGAAAAGGAGGGAGTTGCGTTTGTTTTGAGCAAAAGCAGACAAGCAGGTTTCCAGACTTCAATATGCTCTTATAGCTTCGGCAAACTCTTTCACTGCCAAAAAGCAGAGAAAATGGGAAAAACATTTAATATATTATTGGTAATTTCGAAACTTTTCTAAGATTTTTGCTTAAAACAGTTGAAAAATGGAATAAAGTATTTTAGAAACCCTAATAGAAAAAACGGCTTAGAAGTCAGCAATTGAAAAGTATCCCCGCAAAAGCCGACTGTCCAAATTTCTCCACCAGCAACAAAACATCTTCGTTTGGGGTCAGACTGCACGTTTGCCGCATAATTTATGCAAACTAAAATTTCCACTTAAGCATTTCATTTCATCTCGGCGCAATCTTATCGTCCCCTCAACCTCATTCGTCCCATTCCGCCAGCAATTAAATGGAACACAAATTTCCCGTCCAAAGTCCGGACTTTCGGATGGCAGACGGACAATTTGGAGAGAGCAGACAGTACTTGGCATTATTTATGGCTTCCTTTTTGGCCCTTTGTTGCCTCGTTGTTCTCGAGGAGTTTTCTGAATTGCGATTTGGTTAAGGATTCGGATTTTGGGTTTCAAATGGGGATTGGGTTGCGAGGCTTGGGGTTGCGGTTGCAAATGGATGGAGGGTGAAGGGATGCACAATCCAAATTGCAATTAATAAGGGCCCTTAACGTTCAGAGTCCAAAAAAACAGTATAAATTAGAGCTCACTATTATAACAAAACTCCTCTAAACTGAATAATATTATGTACACAAAGGGTTTGTCTTATATGTATATAATTTAATAGGCTTGTAATAATATTATTAGGACTTAAAGGGTAATTTCCAATAATCTAATTTCCAACCTAAAAACTTGTTAAGTAATATGGTGAAACTTTTGTTAAGATTCTCAATTATAAATTATACAATTTCTTATAAACTAAAGAGCAACATTTTTGGTTTTATTTGAAAGCTAAATTATTTTCGGTATAAAAGAGCGGGACAAACAAATCCGAAACCCATTGAGGCAAAGAAACCGCTTCGGTCAACAGGATTTTTTGGCATCTCCAGGCTCTCGCCTCGATGGCTCAATTCG